TGGGTTTACCAATCAATTAGGGTTAATTTTGCTCGAGAGAAGTAATTAACTAAATTTGAAAAATCGGGTCTAACATAGTAAATCAGTAATTTATTAATTGGCTTGTAGAGAAATTAATTAGGTGACGGTTAAGTGAAACCATGAATCCCAACCACGTTTTCCTCCAAAATTTCCAAGTATTTATGTTTTCTTATTTTGTAGATTTTAGTTAAACTTCCTTATTTTTCAATATCAAATTTTATTGTGTGTTTGTTTTTATTGTTAAAATTAAATTGACTAAAGTTGTGTAATCAAAGTAAACATTCCTCGAAAGATCGACAGTTCGGACTCAAAATGTCCACTTTATTACTTGAACGCGACCCGTGCACTTGCGATAAATTTTCAAGTGAACACTTTCATACAGATCTCAACCAAAACCCTTAAGCAACCATGACTTGATCAATTTGTGTATTTCCTGAAAATGAAAGATACCATCTCATCAATATTTAATGTTCATGTGAGATGTGATTGCACCCCAATTAAGATTTCAAAAATAAAATTAACCCACCCTAGAAGACCAAGAAAGAAACAATATATGCATGCACTCTTTGTCGTTTTCAAGTCGTTTTCTGTTTTCGATTTTCCAAAATAGTGAAAACGCATTCTCTTTCTTATTTTTGAAAACACGTTTTTGAAAACAAGTTTAAAATTTATAAAGAAAACCTAAAACGACAAATTTGCCGTTTTAGGTGTTTTCAGTTTAACTTGGCCGGAATTTTCAAAATGCGTTTTCGTTGTTTTCAATTACTATCACCCCCAACTACCACCATTGCCGCCTGCAAAACACCACCAACTGCCATCGCTGCCCCAACATCACCCCAACCACAACCAACACCACAAAAACCGCCACCACACGGTGCCACCACGATCATCAACACCAACTACCATCATCATTAACAACCACGCCACCACCACTACAAATTTTCAGTTTTGAACTCTAAATTCACCCATAAAATTAGCGAGCTGTGGCTGAAATTGGGCTTGACCCATGGTTGGGTTAGGTACGCCATAGGGAAAGGAAGGTGACCCATGTAGTCCGCGACATGGGTTGAATGGACGTCACCGGAATCACAGATTTCTTCAAACTATGTGAAAAGGGATCGCGATCCTCATTCGATTAATTGTTGTTTGGACTAAATCGAGGGCTATTTCTGAGTCATCCAGAGGTGGGCAGTCGACCGGTGGTGGTCCGCGATGAAGACAGTGGTCGGATGATGCAGGTTACAGAGAAGAGAGAGAGAGAGAGAGAGAGAGAGAGAGAGAGAGAGAGGGACAGAGAGAGATACGAGTGAGGAAATTTAGAGGAAAAAGTAAATGCATTTTGAGATTTTTTATTTTTCAAAACAATTT